GATCTCTGGTACATCACTTTATATGCTGATTGGAGAGTATTGAACTTTGTTTTTTTTTTCACTATACTTAATTTCGTGAGGTAGTTTGCTCCAGATTCAATTTCAGTCGTATTTATTAATTCTTGAAAACYTGCKTTGCWAGTGTGGACAAAAGTTATAAATGTTTTCGGAATTTTTTAGGTTGACGTTGAAGGTTTGAGTAAATTCAAGGCTATTGCCACTCAAGGTCGACGTAACGGTAATCAATGGGTCACTAGCTACTACATCACATACAGTAGAGATGGCTCGCGCTTTGTACCTTACCGAGAAGGAAAGGCTATCAAGATCTTCCGTGGAAATCACGAGCGATACATAGTCGTGAAACACACATTCCGTCGCCCATTCCTTGCAAGATACATTCGAGTCCATCCTGTTAGTTGGTACTCGAGGATTTCAATGAGAGTCGAATTCTTTGGTTGCGCAATCGGTAATAATGGTTTCATTGTAGCCATGTTCCTTCCTTCCTTCCTTCCTTCCTTCCTTCCTTTTATTAATTGTAAATCAATGCGTGTCTAACAAAATTTGATAATAATTATTGATGAACATATACATTGTATCGCTTATAGGACCACGATGTAACAAAGCCCTTGGAGTGCAGAGAGGACTTCCCAACCAAATGATAACGGCTTCATCGGAGTTTGATAAGTACCACGGTGCCTACCGTGCTCGTCTCCACGCTCAACGCGCTGGCCGATATCTTGGATCGTGGTCTCCAAAAATAAGCAACCACTACCAATTCTTGCAAATCTCCTTCCACAGACTCATGAGGATTGTGAAAGTTGCCACCCAAGGCCGACCTGATGCCAACCAGTGGGTTAAACAGTACAAGTTCTACTACAGTACCAATGGTGCACACTTCGCAATTTACAAGACTAATGGAAATATAAGGGTAAGATAGCAATCAATTGAGAATCCATTGATCAAGTGTTCGAATATCAACCACATCAACATATTCGAGAATCCATTGATCAAGTGTTCGAATATTAACCACATCTTTTTGAAGTATTTTTCTGAACGTATACCTTACTAACATATATTATTTACGACAGTATTTCAAGGGTAACATATTC